TGTGCTGACAAAGTCAGTACCCGGAGTCCAAATGAAGGACACAATGAATCGTTCCGGATTTGTGTTTCTTCAAAGCAAGAGTAAAGGCCAGATGAGTCTTCTAGATTCGTAAGGCCCTGGTCCAGGCTCCGACTACCGCACTGTATAGTTGCTGTGCGGGTGATCAAGCACCCTCCAGCAAGGAGGAGTGTTGAAATATGTAGCCCAATACGCTTGTTGTCATATACAGTTGTACAGTTGAGACTACCGACATGTTTTGGCTCAAGAAAATAAGGCGCTCCGAAGCGGCCAAATAGATTTTCACAGACGGGAACACCACACTCCTTGTGTTCTTAGGGTGCAGCCCATGTTTCATTGTCACTGCTGTGGTGTTACTGCAGACTCCTCAAATTGGGCAAGTGCCCAAGCTCAGAGGGACAAATGACACATGCTCGATCCAAGCTTGCAACATAGGGCTTCAACGGTGCAATGTTGGGATGGTAGCTTCATCTCCAAACGGGTGAGCGGTGAGCCCCGAGTGTCGTGTTTCGACACAGGTCCTTCACAAGCGCGCGCTGCAGGGAAAGCAGGCGCTTCAAATCGGTGGCCTCGCGCCCGGGGTGTGGCTTGACCTCAGCTCCATGCGCCTGACGAGTCAGAAGCTTTTTGGAACTTGTGAGGACTTGCGACTTGCATAGATTCGGGAGGCACCACTGGCAGATTTGGAGGATGCTTGACAAAGACCGCTTGCAAATTGGAGTCCGAGCTGGCAACTGTTGCTTTAACATGTCCCAGGTGGAGGGTGCAGCAAACAGACCAGTGACGTTTGCAGCCTTGCTCAATAGTTACTGGGAAATTGATGCAGGCCTTCTTAAAAAGGGTTGACAGTCACCAGTGAAGTTGTTGAAAATAACAACTGGGGCAAGCTCGCGTCATTCATTCAGAGCCATACCGTACCTCCCCACCTGCACTTCCCTCGCCGGTTTGGGATTCACGTCATCTCATATCTTTACGCGACTCCCTGGATGGCAGGGCTGTTACGGCATGACCCACCCGGAGTCCCTGTCGTGCCTCGGCAGAAAGTGCGCACGTGGTGGCTTGGTCTGGGCTTCATGGCTTGGCTGGTCGGGTTCCCGTGTGTTGAGTTGCTGAATTGCATGCGTGTCTATGCAACTTTTGATTCGAGAATGGCGAAGCTGGCATAGATTGATCTTCAGATCATTGAAGATGGTGAGCCAAATGCTCACTTTCTTACGCAGATGTTCCGCCCTCCGGCAACTTTCCCATGAATGACAAGCACGGACAAAGAACATGTGGCAGTTCACAGACACCGTTCATATCTTTTGATATCTTTGCTTTCCCTTTCCCTTGTTTGAACGAGGCCCCTCATTTGCAACCCCAGATTTTCGAGGCTTGACGCGTTTGCCGCACTTTGCACGCCAGATCCATGGTGAGCCTTGCCTGGTCGCATTGGAAGGCACGGGAGGTTTGGGGTGCTTGGATTCGGATGCGGGTAAGTTGAGATGCTGGGTTTGAAGGTCAGGGTCTTGTTGATAAGGCCAAATAAGGTGGCTCAATGTTGCTCGGGCTTTGCACATTTGACATTGACAGCCAAAGTCTCCCACGGGCGCTCCAACTCGAGCGGGTGCGATCCACTGCATCATGCCGAAGCTAGCCTTAGCGAGTCTTATTGCAATTGCATCATGTGCTTCTCTTTCTGTCAGTATTGGCGGTCGGGTGGCGAGATGCCGATACCGTGTTCAACTCTCATTCAGGCAAGAGCAGTTGCTGGTGAAGCCTCAAAGGGACAGAAGTTTCCAAAGTTTTCTGGGACTCCTTATATAGCCGTTTGGGCACTGCCTTTCACCCAGGAAGAGTGCTATCGAGCTGAAACTTTCAGTTTTCCATGGCATTCGTTCACAATCAGAAAGCTGGGCACTTGCTCCACTGAGTCATTTCGGCTTAGGTCTTTGTGAGTGTGCGTGCACACGAAAGATATCCCATGTGGTCTTTCTGACAACGCCCCAATCATGCTAGAGTCGTTGATGCGGCATCTTGTGCCTTGCCCTAGTGGTAGCTTGCTGGCCAAACGTGTTGAGATTCCGTCAGGCTTTTTCGCCTCCCTTGCCACTTGAAACATTGTGTTTGCCCCAACAGTTGGATGCTCGCTGCAAGAAAGCGATGAGTTTGAAGTAGCCATCGGACATCGCCACCTCCATTCCACTGGCATAAAGCCGGTGGGAAACCCCGTAGACCAGTTTCCTTTTCAAATGAGCGACCGCAAGGCGTGGGCCTGTTTCATTCCCAGAAGGAGCAACAGATCGTTTCGACTTGCAGTCACTCTCTCCACGGCATATGCCCAAGTGGACCCGGAAAAGCAATCCACAACAGATGGCAGCAGAGAGCCCTCATCCGAAGAAGCTCCGTGCCAGGGGCAGTCCCTGGGTTTTGTTCTTTCTCAGTTCCGTAGATGGAGCCTAAACTGCATGTTCCATTCGCAAGAGGTTGGCGAGCAGGAGCAGGCCGATGCTCTCTACCGGAGGGCCCTCTTGTGGGCATTGGCATGTTTGCCGGGATGGTGCTTAGTGGTGCTTTGAAAGGAACAAAAAGCCGGGCACCCAGTTTGCCAAACGTAGATAATCCACTCTACGAAGCGACGCTCCGTTTGTTCAATGACATTTTGAGCTCCACCCTGCTATAGTGCGCATCGAGGAAAACTAGCTGCTGCGAGTTTGCTGAAGCTTCAGCCATCGAGGGCACTCCTCAAAGTGCATGATCTTCGGAGCGCTGCTTAGCTGTTAGTGCATTGCATGGCCAGTTTGTCTTTTGAAACAGATACAAAGTGGAGGCTGCAAGCCGAAGATTCAAAGACTTGAACATGAGGGGATGGCAGTTATGCCTGTTTAGACCTTATTTCCCCCAAATCGACCCTTAACTTTGGTGTATCCTTATTGGATACGTTCCAGGTCTGGTGGTATACAACCTTTGGAAGATGGCGCTGCTACAATTGAACAAGTTGATCGGAGCAACCAGCAGCAGCCAAACGGATGAGGCTCTTCAGACGTGAACCCTATTCTATGAAATGATCAGGACAGAGCAGGACATGTGATGTTTGATGCCTGCGCTGTTCGTGATTTGCCAGGATCTCGGAATCTCTGTTTGGTCCGGGACATCCGACAACTCTGCCAGGAGCCTGGTAGCCTGCTAACAAGCGCTTGGGTTCTCATGAGTGGTCTGACTGTTTGCAAGGTTCCCTCTCAGGCCTAGCACTTTCATTTGGTGCTTGCCTGGTTGCCACTGAGTGGTCTGTTGCTCGAGATTCAGTTGTTTGTTTACTGGCTTCTTAGCAAATAGCGGACACCCACTGAGCCCAGGATCTTCTTTTGGTGCCGGTGGCAAGAGCGAGATCTGTCTCAGGATAAGGAATTTATGCTACCTGGAGCGCTGTGCAGTGCGTCATGCGGCATGTTGACCAAGCGAAGGCCATCTTAAAAATGACAAGTAGTGAGAACCTCGCAAGCACGTAAGTAAGCAAGCAAGCAGGCAAACAAACAAACAAACAAAGGACGGGTGGCATACGTTCATCGTCGTGCATTTCGGTGTGAATCATTCTGCGCCGGTTGAAATGTAGTGTTCTTGGAGCCAGCGCCATCGCAAATTGCCCTGGC